ATGGGGGCGCCGCGCGGGCGACACGTGCGGGTCCGCCGGCAGGGGGAGGGGACGCGCGCCGCCGGGCCCACCATCCGGCACGGGCCGCCGATCGGTCGGGGCACCCGCACGCTCGCCCAGCTGGGGGACTCGAGGGACTTGGGACACTGTAAAGCACTTTCCCCGGGGGCTGGGAGTGCCCGTTGCCCGCCCAGCTCCCGGTCTCTGGATCTGAGGCCCCTGCGCTCCTAGGCTAGGCTCCTGCGTAGGGATATGAGTGCCCATCGGAGGTGGTGGGAAAAGTTGATCCTCGCAGGTGAGGGGAAGGCGCAGTGCATTTTCCCAGACAACCAATGGAATACCACTCGCGCTGCTTCCCTCCCACCTGCTCCTGGCAGAAGTTAGGACGGCGCCTTCCATGTCGGCCTGTGTGCACACGCAAGTGTGGAAGGGCGGCCGCGGGCGGAGGGGCAGCGAAGGCGACCCTGCCGCCGCGCTCGACGGCTCCATGCACCCCAGCCCTCTCCCTCGCGTGCGAGACACCGTGCGTCTCCGTGGAAAGAGGAATGCCGCCTGTGACAGCGCGCCCCTCCGCACTCTGCGGGGAGCCCCTCGTTCTGATTAGCCGGGCCCCACCCCAGCAGGAGCCAGGCGAGTGTGTTTGCTAGAGCAAGAGAGGAAGACTCATGAATTCCACAAACGTAGCCTGGGAGGGGACCTGGACGAGTGAGCCGCAGCCCCTGCCCTTCAGGACTTGCAGGAGCCATCAGTAAAGCCTGAACACCACTGTGAGGAGGAAGACAGCGAAGACAGCATGCTGGGCCTGTGGCTCCCAGGAAGACACAGTGACTTCCCTTGGGGAGGACGAGGAAAGGCGCTGCGGGCCTCCGAGGGGCAAATGGGCAGGCGGGAGTGAGGGCACGGGCCTTCCACGGGGAGAGAACAGCCAGGCAAGCGCGGACATGCAGAAATGTCACTTCAGGGCAGTTGAGTGGGGATGGGCTCGCTAGCTGCCCAGGAAGGCTGTTGTCTGGCTAACGAGGCTACCGTGGCAGGGCCCACGCCCCCAGAGTCTGGCTTTGACTCTGCCGTCCCTGGAAGAAGTCCCTCCTACCCATCCGTGACCCACAAACAGCATCTGGCCATATTCTGCCTGGGCCACTCAGGCCACACCTGCTACTCACGTTTTCCTGAAAGACACAGTGTGAGCCTGAGCCGGTTAACTCACTGCTAAAGCCCAGAGGAGGAGAGACTAGAAAAAGCTCCATTGGTTTGATTCCTAGTTCTCCCCTTCACTGTGTGATATTGGGCAAGTTATCAGAACTCCTGGGCTTCATCTTCTTTATCTGTAAAAGGAATAAATGTCACTAATCCCAAAGAGTCCTTGTCAGGATTAAATGAGACAATGAACGTCAGGTACAACGTCCAGAGGGAGGCAAACGATGCTGTGGTACAGAGATCGTGGGTCACCTCCAGTCCTCCTTGCCCCCCCCACCCCCGGGCATGTCTCTTTAAATGTGTGCTTGGTCCCCAGGGGTGGACTCAAACACCATCATCCCACCAAGACATACCTTACTGAGGCAGTAGAGCCCGGATAGTTTGGGTTTCGTGATCTTAACTGAGATTCTTAACCTCTCTAATCCTCAGTTTCCCCATCTATAAATTGGTGGCAATCATATGAGCTTCCTCATGGGATTGTTTGTGGGGTATGTAGATTATATATGGAAGGTCTTGCCATATGCTTGAGAGAGAGAAGGACTCTGTAAGTAGCAATTGTTATTTATTGTTAACCCTGCTAACTACCTATGTCCCACTGAGATGTGGAGTGTGCAGCACAGTCAGGCTCCAGGTAGCTCTCCCTACCTGCCCCACCAACCAGGTGCAGCTGAAGGAACCTGGGGTCTGTGGATAGACAACACGGGACCAGAGAGTTCACTTAAATCAAATGTTGAAGCCCCTAGAGACAACAATAAAAGTACATTGGAGGGGAAAACATATTTGGAGAAATTGGACATACGTGATACTTAAAAAAATTTTTGTCTAAATTAATTTTGTTTTATCTATGTATGAATTATGTATTGCTCTTTTCACAATGTTAGAGTGTTAAATGAAGTTTAGTTTATTCAGGAGCTAATTGCTAAATTACCAATTTTTCCTTTTTTGAGATTGTATTATCAAAAGAATAAAAACCACAGGCCGGCCCGGTGGCGCACTGCTACAGTGCGCCACCTGGGAAAGCGCGGTGGCGCTCCCGCCGAGGGTTCGGATCCCACATACAGACTGGTTCCCGCTC